TCTTCTACGCATCATGCCACCGATGCTACATTCTACCGACATCTTGCTTAAAGCAAGTGATACTTTAAAAATTACTGCTATAGATATAGTTATTTAATTTTTCCTCAGAAAATTTTACAGCTAAAGCACAAAAAAACCGAATGCAGACTTCATGAGCTCTTTTCCAATTAGTGAAAAATGGGGTTTGATTTAAAAAGCCTAAACAACTGTAGCACAGCATAGCAGCTCTCAGCATTTTTTTATGTACTACATCATCTTGTTTCACAAAATGAATTTCCAATTGCTTTTAGCAGATCAGTGGCAGCTGTATGATGCATATTTTATAGGAAGTAATTAGATTTTTCATATCATTCTATGTTCATTCACTTACAGTACTTACTTGATTGTTTTTAAGGTTCCTAAAGCTTTTAACTGGATCATGTTTAGAAAAATACATACCATCTAATACCATCACGTATTCTTATTTTTTATATTTTGTATCTTTTCCCCATGTAACTAAAACTCCACTATCAAGCAATGTAACAGTTCATTATTTCAGACCAACGGGCTGCTCCATGTCAGCACTGGCTACTATCATTTATCAAGTTCCACATATGCTGCCTGCTTAGAAAAGTCAGGTCCTTTCTGAAGACTGATATTCTCAGCACTATCAAAGCAAACCTACAAGGCATAAAAAGGCTCTGTATGGAGTTCCTGCAAAAACATATTCCTGTGCGTTTCCTAAACTATTTTAGCTGGAAATTATACCCAAAAAATATTCATGATGAATGTGACAGAAATAAAAGGCAAGCCGTCACTTTCTGAATACTAAATCAGATCTAAACCTATACTTTCAAGTAAATATTATTACTGATGTAACTGAGAGAGGAACTATGTTTTGAATGAACAGAAAATTACATGCATAAAATGAACTTGCTTTGACAGGAAAAGTCAAAGACTCTTACAGAGAAATTCTATTTCCAAATCCACCCCCTCTCCCTTGACATAACAATTCTACACAGAAAGAAGGAAGATTTCCTATTATTTCCCTCATCTGCAAACTGAGGACACCCATTACAACTATAATCTCAAAAATGGGAAATATAATTAAAACTTTATTGTCATTTACTGTTATTACATATTCTTCTCTTCCTGTATTTATGCCATTTAAAGAATGATAAGGTATTTATGTCTCTAGTGAGGAAACTGATTATTCCCTACCTTGCAGTACTTTATTTCCCAATGCAGAGTGGAAATACGCTATCACTGCACACACACATGAAGGAAAAATACTTTAAAATTGCCTAGGAGTCAAAATTGCATCATTAATAATGTCTTTAAAGGAGGCCTGTACACAAAGCAAATCCTCTGTCTCTTAAAACTGTGTACATGATTTTCTGACTGATATTCTACAATATGCACTATAATGCACTACCCAGGTAATGGTGTTTTTAAATAGCAAGTTCTATACCTTTTTAGTAATACTTCAACTGAATAACTTCAAAAGCATTTATACTAACAAGCTACTGAAAATTTGTTCCAAGATCCACTGAATGGCCAACATTTTTATATATATTACTGATGCAATTTACATTTGCTACTGACATAGGACCTACTACAGAAGACTAAGAGGTATGATTATCCAACACTTTCGTTCTTTACATACTGGTTCAGATTATAACACTGTCTTTTTAGTCCAAAAGTGTTCTTTTTTCCAAATAAAGTAGTACTTGAACAGATCACTGCTCTACACACCAATTACTCCTATCTAACAGCAGGAAACAAACAAAAAAAACCCCAACAAAAACAAAAACCCCAACCAAACAAAAAACAAACAAACAAACAAACAAAAACCAACAAAAAATTCCCAAAATAACTCTCCCCCAGAACCATTTATGTGACAAGTTAAACTGGTCTTCCAGAAAAGTCCATCTTTTTAGTCTTATGCAGTTATATTATTCTTATCCCTTTCTCCAAACAGGAAACAGTAATATTCCTCTGGAAGAAACAGTACATTTGACTTCAAAAAGATTCCTGTAAGCAGTACCTGTAACTATTTTCAATACAGCATTCACTGGTTTTCCATTTGAATTATCAACAATTATGTCAAAACTGAAGTAAGATTTTAAGTTAACATGGAATCTCACAACACATTTGCAGGCATCAGAGGTCAAGACCTCCCCCTTGTCCCCGTCCAGTTTATTCAAATAAGAGCAGCTCAAGAAAAAGCAAGAAAGCAGGTGAGGAAAAACAACAACAAAAACAAAAGGTCAGAAATCACCAACCTCTACCTTAAACAGTATTGTCTTTTGCTCAGTCCACAGGACACTGAACATCTTTGCAGAGCGCTGTTACTCTTCGCAGCCTCTGGGATAACACGACACATGTTCTCTATGCACTCATCAGCAAATGACCAGAAATGTCAAGTCACTAGGACTAGGCCACTAGTCATGGAAACACACTGAGCCCCACTGCTGCTGTCTTTTCAGTACATTAACTATGTTATTCTGTTCAGCATGTAATTTTCCTGACTAATCAACTTTCTTAAATAAGATTTTTTCACTGTATAATTTTAAAAAGCTTTAAACTGTTAAAATACTAAAAATGTAGTATGTTTAAGCCTGCAAGGAAAAAATTAAATCACGAAGATAAGCTTGACTTACAGTTTGTGATGTCAGGAGGGGCGTAACTGTCATTCATGAACATGCTGGTGGGTTTTGCAACTTTCAGATAAACAAAATCAGATGTGTTTTTTAAGGCAGTCACTGCTTCTTCATGAGTAACTTCTTCTAAGCAAACACTGTTCACCTAAAGAGAAAAAAATAAACCAGTTATCAACATGGGAAAATGTACGTTTTCATAGGACACTCAGTGAAAGCTGTTGGAGCATTCTAGTCTGCCTTTGGTCTTTACTAGGATTCATGTGCCATAATTGTTTATATGAAAGTTACATAAGAGGTGCTTCATAATGCTATGACATACAAGACAGACAAGTCTTTCTTCAAAAGATTATAATAAACTGTATTTACTGAAACATTGTAAAGGCAGCACACATGTCTGGAAAACTAACAGGACAAACAGGACACTCAAGATGCCATTGCACAATCACAGCACTGACATATTCTCTTATTGCAAGCATTAAACCAGAAAGTATATTCTAGTAGGAATAAATCCTACATGTTCTTGTCATGACATAATTAAGTTCTAGACATTACAATGAGACAACATATTCTTGCAGGAGTTCAAAAGTAGGGTTCAAAACTGAAGAAGATCCCAAAGTGACTGGTTTCCATGCCAAGTAACTAGAACTAGTTTAACTGTACAGGGGAAAGTCCAGCACTTCAGTTAAAAAAAAAAAATAAATTGAAACCTTTAACAATTTCTATCTCATATAAAGCTTTAGTAAAATTGAGTTGCTGCCCTCTTTTCCATATTTTGAAGAGGGAACTAACTTCTGCATATAATTCCTGGCAACATGAGAAATAGGGCTTGTACTGCACTGAACCTGAGGGACCAAAGATACTTTCCTTGGGTGACTTTCACTTTATATACTGTGTAAAAACAATTGGGCCTTGTCAGATATTACTTGTGGGGGGAAAACTCTATTGCTTAAATATATTATTTCTATCTGTATTTTCTCAAAATTTCCTAAAATGTTTCTAAAATCCTCTTACTGATTTTTTTATTTTTAAACAAATTTAAATTCCTACCACTCCTTATGACTGAAAAGTCATTTTGCAGTGCATTGACAATGCAGTACAACGAAAATTACATTCTGCCAAACGCGGCAGCTTATCTCTACATTAGTGAGCAAAGCTTTGACTAGGTGAAATTCAAGTCATCAGAAGATATTACGGGTGACATTTTACTCACTTCTTTCCTAACTTAATGAATGGAGGGAATAATTGCAGCTACAATAAATTAGGACATCATGTTTACTATACCAAGCACCACATTGCACATGCTACTTACATCTCCAAAACAGTATCTGATATTAATACAAAGCTACTTGGTCAGGCAAATGTTTTCAATGGATAAAGTTATACTGGGCAAAGTAATTTGTCACAAAATTCTGGTATTTCCAAAAGAATTCCTTAAAACTTTCCATGTATTTTATAACACAAGCACATTAGCATGATTTTTTCTTGTACGGGTGACAAACTATAACACTGGAAAGCAGTCTGTCATTAAAAGCAAGCCCTTGCATTGCAGGGAAGTCCTATAATCAAAACACTTCCTATGATGCAGATTTTAAAACTTAACATATTAACAGCATTATCACCAAGCAGCTGGATCTTTGGGTTTGTGAATTTGTATGGCTTATGAAAGCATGCATTGTGCAGTTAATAGTAAACATAATAAATAGTATATATATGATTATGTGTATATAGATATAAAAATATATAGTAAACAATCTCTGGTTTTTCCTCCCAATTCTCGTATTAGGATTTGCTCTTCTCTTGAGATGATTTCACAGAACTACCCATTGTAACACAAACATAAAGTGATAAGCCCAGGATTCTTTATCTGTAAGTTGCTCAAGTTTTCCCAGCTCTGTATTTGTAAGTTACAAACTTATCCAAGAAGTCTTTTTACAGATGGGAAACTGCAATAAGCATTTAGAGTCAGTTTCTTACTGTTCAAAGAGCAAAAGAGTGAGCATTCTGCTGTCATCTACTCTGAGTAAAGATGTACTCAGACCTCCTACAGAAGCAGGTACTGCCTGGTAGAGGCAGGAGAGTGGAGCAATTACACCTTACAAGAGTTTACAGTTCAGAAATTCATTCTGGCTCTTGTTTTTCTAGCTGGACAACTAAATTTGCAGATAGAATTTAAGAAAATTCAAACTTATTTTTAGTTTGTGCATAGAAAATTCAACTTCAAAGTATTTAAAAAAAAAAAAACAAAAAACCAAAACCCCTCAAAAAATAACCCCACCACATTTAAAAGCATTACAAACACTGAAATCCAATGTAAGCAGCAGTTTCACTGCAGGCTGGCCAGCTACCAGTATATGGAGTTCCTTTCCATTCTTCTTTTTGAAAAGAGAAACAATCCCAGTACAAACTGGTTTACAATCCCAGCACTCAGATCTCAGAAAAATAATAGCAGGCATCAGAAATAGACATACAGGTTTTGCACGAAACACTGGGCTGAGGAACAGACTTCCTGATGAGATGGTGTTGAATGTGGCAGATTTAATACTTACCAGTGATTTTCTGGCAATATCAAATTTTTTACCTATTTCTATGAAATAACACTCTACCAGCAGGCAGCTTAACCATGAACTGAATCATGCCCTTACTGGGCCTAAAAGTGAATGACCATAAAAAAAAAATTGCAGCTCTTGCTTACAGCTAAAAGTTTGTCTCCAATCTGAAGCTTGCCATCTTTATGCGCTGCCCCACCTTCAATGATTTTGGTTACATAGATGCTGTTGTCTCCAGGTATATGCTGATTTCCCACGCCACCAGCAATACTGAAACCAAGACCTGCTTGAAGATAAAATCATTACTCAAGAAACCTTTCAGCATTCATTAGACTCACATTATTATATTCATAATGGTGCTATTTGTATCACACATACAAAAAAATACTAGGCTCTGGCTGAAGCCTTTGCACGTGAACGTCATAATTTTGCAGAAAGTTCTGGAAAATATGTAACATTTACAGAAGTTCTGAAAATCAAAAACTAAATCATTTACTTCATGCCTTGTGAAAGATGCTCACAGCAGAGCTAAAGCATCACCACTGACATTTAAAGAATCATTGTCCAACATTTACCCATATAGAAACAAAGTAATTCTTTATGTATTTTTGATCTCTCCAAGACCCTTTCCAGGTAATTTAAATAAATATTTTACTCCCATTTGTAATGTATTTTAAAATTACTAAATGTTACCAGAAACACATTTTTGTCTCTTGAAAGAAAAATACGCATTCTACAAAATCAGTTTCAAGACACATGGATGAAAATCCAGAAACATTTGAGATGTCATTACTTTATCTTTCATTATTCTGCATTTCCTGTAACTACATATGCATTTTTATTTTGAAATACTATTTTATTTTGAAATACTATTTTATTTTGAAAAATAAATGCAGAAACCTATCGTCAACTTTATCCTTCTTGTGAAACAGAAGCTTTGTATTTCCTATGTACCTTTAGGCCCTTTCACAAGTTTGATTTCCACTATTTTTTCTGTGACTGGTTTTCTTCTTTTGACATACAATCGTACAATTGATCCCGCTTCTTTCAATGCTTCAACTGCTTTACTGTGTGTCACATCACGAACATCCACCTCATTTACTCGTAGAATACAATCATTAACCCTAGAGACAGAAACGTTCATGTTCAGCTGTTGTGTTACAGCAGAGCAGACAAATTAGGAGCCTAATATTTTATCTACAGTACACTAACATACATGTTAACACATTAAGATATATAGATTTTGCTCCAAAATTCTACTGAGTCAAGACAAGGCTCTAAATTTAATTATTGCTTAAAATCAAAATAAGGATCACTAGAAAACACTTAATGGGAATATTTTGTTCACAGCATAAGAGGACACCATCTTCTACGTGTTTCATTTAAACAGTATTTTGAGCAGAGCTTTGTACAAACTACCTTTTGTTTAGGGCTATAGGAAAGAATAAAAAAAAAAAATAGTCAGAATCTAGAAGACACACAATGAGAACACACGAGTTTTAAGCCATGATAGGAACGAGCCAACCTCCATCCCTGCTTTTCACAAGCTGCTTAAGGGCTGACCTTCCACTCTATTTAACATGTTGCTATAATAACACTGAGCTCTCATTACACCAAGTACAATGCCTGACCCACCTGTCACCACATTCTCCGAGATGTACTTCCGACAATAGGCAATGGCTAAAATCAAGCCTTGAAATAAGCTTATTAGGACTAAAAACCCTAATGCATCAGGCATTTGCACCAAAAATGATAGGGCAAGTTTTTGACAACACAAGAGGAAAAAATAACTGGTCCTACAATCGGATGTGCTTTTTTAACACACAGTAATAGAGAAATATACTTAAAGACTGTTCTGAGTTAGAAAAAAAATAATTAACGTAATTTGTTATTAACTTCTAACAGTAGTCTTCAAGGGAAGTTGCAAATATCACTTGCTACCATCTAGTAATATGCCACATTTCCTCACTAGGAGTTAAGTAGTAGTATAAGTCCACAATTAAATACGAAAATGGGGTATACTGGAGAAGGAGTAGTCAATTTAAATAAAAAATTTTGCTTCTGAGGATGTGCAGTATCTTTGAAAAACGAAGACACAGCATACCAAGCATAAAATAGGGTTATTATTAAGATCAACTATCTTACAGACCAGAAAATCTGCACATGGATAACCAAGAGCTACCTATGCAACCTGTCTAAGCTTTTCCTTTGCATATTGAATTAAGGACTATAAAATATATGGCATAATCGATTAATACCACCAAATAGAAAAGGTGATATAAATTGATTATGCTTAATTTCACTCATATGCAGATTTTATTGGGGGAAAAAAAATAAAATTGGACACATTTTTTATTGCTTACAAACCATTTCTGTAAGAAAAACTTAATGTAATGTAGCATGATAGAACTACTGAAAGTAACAGAAAGTGTTCTATCCACTGTTTGAAAGTATAATAATAAACATTTAGCAACCCAACACAGAAAGTCATCATACCGTAATCTTCCATCCTGTGCAGCTGCACCCCCGGCTATAATTTTTGTAATAAAAATACTCGAATCATCCCCAATATGTGGGTTGTCTGTACCACCTGCAATGCTAAAGCCAAGTCCTGAATTTCCCTAAAGGCAGAGGGGGAAAAAAAAAAAAATTACACATTTCTTTTTGGGGGGAAAAATATCCTAGTGTTTCTATTTGATTCAATATAGAACCGTATTTATATAATTTTCAGTGATAAATACTAAAATACACTTCAAGCAGTAGGCTACATATAACCATTTGTAAGATACAATGATGCTTTTTTTCCACAGAAGTAACGAGAATTTAAGTGATTATGTAACCCTAAGAGATACAGTTCAAACCCCACAGCATTCTCATTGAAGTGAACCCGATAAACTAGATAAAAACCTTCCCTCACTAGTGAACTAAATATTTGACATTATTCATACAAATATTTGCCTCTCATTAAATTAATAGTAATGAATTATTTTTCCCGGAGAAGCCCCAGGTAATTTGTGTCACACATGTAATATACCCTCACAGATGCAGAGATTCAGATGGACGTTTCTCTTCAAAGGTTGCCCACCCTTACTATCTACCACCTTCAAGACCTCTTCACCTTCTCAGTAACCACCAGAACTGCACAGGTATCAAATACAACCCTTTCTTCCTTTTTGTTAATAGTGCAGCTCAGTAAAAGAATTGAGATGGATCTCAAAATCATAAACCTAGCAAAGCAATGCATATGACAAGGTGTCACTTGTAATCTCAACTGGAAGCCTGAATCTCAATATAAAATTTAGTGGTATAAGTAAACACCAATCATAAATGGCAATACAGGACATGAAATCAGAAATTGTACTATTGATTTCTACAAGCCTAGATAATAACATTAAAGGCAGTATGTCTCAGGAAGATCCTTCCCCCATTTTGCTCTTAATGGTCAAGGATATTAATAAAAACTTCTATTCCTGCTCCACCAATTGGGTGTATTTTTTTTTTTAATTGATGTTAGATAATCTACCTAAAGGAAAAAAGGGGAGGAGAGGGGAGAGAGGAAGAGGAATCAAACAGTAAAGATTGTTTTGTTTTGTATTGCCATTTAGCAGTATCAAGAGGTTAACTTTCAGTATTAAAGCATTATACAAGAAGACAGTTATCACGTTACCCTTTCAAGAGTAATTTCTTCATACTCATAATCTGCATCTGTGCCATTGACCTATAAAGAAAGAAAAGTGAGACTTACAAAGAATTTTACACTTTATACAACGGTTTGCTCAGCTGGCAGTTCACTCCCATCAAATCTCAGCTGTTCCACAGTGACCACTGAGCTCAGAGGGGACATGGGATTTTCACACTGCTCTGTACATGAACCAGATTTTATGAGTTTAAAAGTTAAGATTTCAGAGAGCAGGCTGCTCTGTGCAGATACTCTAGAGCAGGGGCCCTCTGCTTCTGATTGCCAGGAAAACCACCAATCAACCTAAATGTTCTTGAGATCCTCAGATGTTCCTCAGGCCAATAGGGCAAGTTGAAATTGAGAAAAAAGGAAGAGGTCGTGGGCTAGAGAAGAAATTGTACAGAACAGAGCAGTATTTCCAAACGGTTGTTTCTCATGGAGCAGAGAAAAATCAAAGACTGGTGCTTTATGCCACTTCTCACTAGAAATGGGCAAGACCCTTATAAAGCAATGTTTAACAACTGTTTATATTATTCTATTATTATTTATCATGTTACATATATACTAAAGATCAACAAATTAAAACAGGACCAAAAAGAGAAGAGGAGTTTAGAAGAGTATTTCATAAAGCTAGATGAAAAGCCCCAATACTAGAAGTACACCTTGTCATCCCTAAGCTAGAAAGGACATTCTTTGGTGCCTACAGGACTAGAATAGAATCAAATAACAGCGGTAACAAATATCTAAATTAAGCAAAATCATTGAAATAACAAATTAACCATATTTAATATAAAAACATTATAAACATTTTTATAATTACTAGGTAATTATTAAAATATTTTTTTTTTAAATTACTAAGGTATCTTGGAACTCAAATTCATTCCTCCACAGTTACCTACAGCAACATATATACCACGCAGCTACAGGAGATTCCCTATTTCAAGTGTTTTAGGATGAAATATTTAACAAGGTAAGAAATAGCATTTATACTATTACTTTACAAAGCATCTTATCTATTCTTAAGATATCTGGTAGTCTTCTGTACTTTTAATCTACGATTCAAGGTTTTAAGGACACAAAACATGTATACAAGAAAGCATTTTAAAAATCTGTATAGTTTTCTAGCAGAGAATTAAAAAAGGGGATTTCAATCCACCCCAAAGAAAGTTAAGATTATATCTACTTGATTCCTTGTATCTTTATTTAACATATTTAAAAGCTAAAAAAACTGGACATGCCACAAGTTTCATGGGTTGCATACTGTCAAGCTCATTTATCCCTCACTACAGTTTTTCCTCAATCTCTAATTATTTTCCCCTGGATAAAAATAGCAGCCATGTCCATTCCAGACAACAGATTATTATCATCTTCTTTGTGCAGTACCTCAAAAATTATCATGTCCTTATTGGTTTGTTTAATGGAAAAGATACTGTGGTTTCAACACATGATATTTGGTCATTAAAAAGGGAAGAGGTCTTGACCTTCTGAATACATGAAACTGTATCTATTACTACACTGACACAAAAGGAGCCACTGTAATCACTAAGTTTATATGTTAGCTTAGTCCTTGAGCTATTTACCTACAATGATGACAATACCTATTAACTGAACCAGTCATCCAGCACTACAGTACCTGGGAAATGGTTCATGATGACTGATCAGTAACAGGGACAGATATTCATTTCCCTAGTCACTACCATTAGGCAAAACAAAGCCGATGTTTTTGCAGTGTTGTTTATTTCTATGTACAAAACTCCAACCCAATTTTGAAATATCATCTAGATAAACAGAAGCAAACAAGAATCTCCACCATTTTTATCTTCTGCTTTAGTTCAGTTCTAAAGTCTTTTTTTTTTCTCTTTTTAAATTTACTTTTGAATTGACATCAAATGATAAAAATCACTGCCAATCCTACATTTTGCAATGCTCTCAGATACACTAAGGCAGGCTTTATTTGCAGGGACTTCCCCTAGATAAAGTTCCATACAAATGCTGTAATTACGTCACAGCAACCTTTGAATCAGAAAAGCTATTAGTAGTTCAGCAGAATTTGGTTAGAGCCTTCTGGCTCTAATTTCTCTGGTATGGTTAATCTTTTCATGTGACATAACTTGAGTTTTGTTTGTATTTCCTTGGGCTTTTACAAAGAATAAAATAAGCATCTTGGTGATTTTTGCTAACCTCATTTAAGTTCTAGGAGGAAATACTTCCTCAGCAGCTTTGTGATTCAGATAACAAGAGTTGTTCCTAACCATTTTTTCCTTGATGACTTTCTAGATTTTGTTTATTCCTTCAATAGAAAAAGCTTTAACAGTTAAGTTTTTTTTGTAGCTTCATGATGTAGTTACCTCACGAGCATGATTTTATATTACTTATCGTTTAACAAATCCATTAACTACATAGGAGCCTAAAAGGATATTCCTTTACTGAACTTCCTGTGCTTACAGAATAGGTTAGATTACAGATTGTATGGGCTCATATGTTTTGCATTCATTACAAACTGGTAATTTAGCTGTCTTTTGAGTGCCAGTTTGTTCTGTTAATATTTTCTCTTCCTATTCCTACTATCTACTGTCCTCCACATGCCTCTATCAGATAGGGCCTTCTGAAACACAAATACATATTTAATAATCACTTTTCTTCTTGGTTTAGTTTGTGTGCAGCAAGACACCTCACCTTCAGTATGTTTTTTTAAACTGTATCTGCGTCACATCAACAACAGAGCCGCACACTGCAGGCTACTGCTGTGATCTTTTAGTCAGAGGCATCATCATTACACTTGAGACTCATTTATGAGCAAATTATGTCACTATGCTCATCTTTTGTCTTCTGCTTAAACTGTTAATTCACGCTTTTGTCTGTCTTGAGTTACTACAGCTCATTTCTAGCAATGTTGCTAAGTTATGAATGCTTTTGACAAGGACAAGATTTACTCTTTACTTGCTAACTCAAGTACTTAGAACAAAAACAACATAAAGCAATCAGTAAAGGCATTAACACTGCTCAGGAAAAGGACGAGCAAGGAGGGTATAAGTAAATGTAGGAGGAAGGTACAGGAAGAAAATTCAGACCTGAAACCTATACCAAATTTACATACATTTCAAAGCCTCTGAAGTCTCTGCCAGTAGAATTTCTATCACAAAACACGAATAGTAATTGTTGTGCCAAACACAAATATTAGCTTCCACATAACTACACTTAGCACTTTAATGTTTCAAACACAACCAAGACATTGTTATGTACATTTAGAACACTGAAATCTTAAATATAGCCGCTGCATGAAGAAGTGTTTTTGTGAAAAATGCAACAGAAATGGCACATTAAATATTAAAGCATCTGCCTGCACAGCTGAAGAAACAGACTGTCCTCTGAACACAAACTCTGGAACCTCTAACTGTGTTTTGCACTGTCACACAGTGGTACTCACACAGAACCTTTCACCTGCAATTTCCAACCTTTTTGTTTGTTTGTTTGGGGTTTTTTTGTTTCTTTTTTAAATGGAACAGGTATCTAAGGACTTCAAATGACCATCAGGACAGCTGGTGAAATCAAGCACCACAGAGGTAAAATCAGTTTTATTAAACAGTAACAACAGACCTACACAACAACATACACAAAACATTATCTTAAGTTGTAACTGAAAGCAAATGTAGGCTTACGTATGTTGGAGTCTCCAAAGAATCCGTATTCACCAGCACTGGAGGGGGGTTTGCCTTTAACAAAAGAATAAAAAAACCCAAATAAATTATACAGCATAAGAGAAAGCAATATTAATGATAATTATACAGTATTTAATTTGCTGTTTCTCAAAATTCTATTAAAAGGTAGCCTCAGCTTAAGAAGCTCAAAAATTCACCTTCTGAAACACTTGTTTCTACCCTGAACTGCTTTTGCTTCCCCCCTCCCC